TCAGTAAAAATACTTTTAATAATAAATCAGTAAAAATACTTTTGTTGATTTTTCTTTTTATCCCTTTTATTCTACAGACACGTAATAAGATTCTTTAATTGGCCTATATATATTTGTATATAAATTTTTAAAAAACAGCAGTAAATTAGTAAAAATAATTTTAATACTAAATCAGTAAAATACTTTTGTTGATTTTTCTTTTTATCCGTTTTATCTACAGACACGTAATAAGATTCTTAGGTTAGATATGAAAACTAGTAGCATTTTTATGACTTCCAAAAAAAGCAAAGTACTGTATGTAGTTTCCTACTCCAAAATTGGGAGCCTGTGTCTGTGCCGCCGCTACCCCTCAGATTCAAACTCCGATTTCGATTCCGAGCTAGTGCAGAAACTCCGACTTTCTGAGTTTTCACGTAGGCTTACATACGCACTAGCTCGGAATCGAAATCGGAGAGTATAAGGAGAGATTGTTTACTTAATAATAAGTTCAGGGCGCAAAACCTCCGAAACTTGCGCCGGGCGCAGAAGATTTTCGAATTTTCGCGTACACTATAGTATGCACAAATTCCGAAATCCGAGGGTTGATTAAAATATTTGCAGAAACTCCAATTTTGGAGACTTCGCCTATAGTACGCAAACACCGAAATCACAGGTAGACTAAAAGATTTGCTCTCTCTGTAAAGAGAGCTTGTTTACTTAAAAATTATTTTAGGCAGCAAAACCTCCGAAATTGGAGTTTGCGCCGAGCGCAGAAACCCAAATTTTGGAGATTTTGCGTATAGTAAGTACGTAAAAACTCCAAAATCAGAGGGCTAATTAAAAGTGGTTTGCTCTCTCTCTCTCTCCTATATAGGGGGAGGTTGTTTAATTAATAATAGTTTTAGGACGCAAAACCTTCGAAATTGGTGTAGGCCCTATTTGCGCCGGGCACAGAAACTCCGATTTTGCAGTTTTCGGGTATGGTACGCAAAACAAAACTCCGAAATCGCAGACACTACAAAATTAGAGTAACACGTACATGAAAATTCCTCTCACCCATGCATGAACATACTGTATCACTTTCAATTGTATAATATAATATTATTTATTCAAAATTAAATACAGAACATAAACTAAAATGACAAGTTTTATTTACAAATTAGACACACAAAATAAAATGTTGCTACAAAACGTTACTATAACATTCGCGAACGTTTTGAATGTTGTGCTTAGTATGTAAAAGAATAACATTACCACAACATTGTAGCAACGTTTTAAACCTCATGTCCTCAGAAATTAGGTTATAAAAGCGTACAAAAAAAAAAACGTTCTGATATCTAAACTGCAACGTTATTACAGTAGTAGTGCACTATTTTTAAAAAATTCCATCTAAACATGATATATCGAAAACTTAAATTAAATATACAATTAGAAATGTTCATAATTCAAAACCTAAATTGTCAACAAAAAAAACAAAAAACCGTAAAATGGGATTCACTGTAATAATGATTCATTGTGTGCCAATTGCCAATTTTATGGTATAAACATTTGTAAATTTTGGCCCAATTCCAATTACTACCTATCCCTGTCCCAAATAATTACTGTAATTAAAGTTCTTAGTGGGAAAACACTTATGCGTGTCAATAATCAGTGGCAAATGCACAGGATATAGGAAGATTATATAAAAATTCTGAAGCTGCATTTCTAAGAATATACAATAATTTAAAATAATATATATTAATATATTGAACTCTGCATGTGTGGGTGCAGTAAAAACATTCTTCAGATTTTTTATAAAGTTTATCAGAATATATCAAACAAAATTGAGACAGACCAGGCCACAAAGTTTCCATTAATTTATAGTTTAATTATTAAAAAAATAACTATCATATTCTCTAATACATACTATTAGCTTGTGTGTGTAAGTTGACCATACAAAAAAAGCGAAAATTAAAAACTGGGTTCATTTTCCAATATCTTAAACTGATTAACAAATTTATACACAATAAAGTATTTCTAATATTATGATATCTTAATATTAATATACTTAAACATGAGAAAATGTATATTTACTGCTTTTTGTTTTTTGTTGTAAGTGCATTAAGGATTTCTCTGCGGAATGCGCTATGTAAGAATGGCGTAAATATTATTAACACTCTGCCCGTGGTAACACAACACTTGACCGCCAAACACAGATATCTCTGTGTTTCAGTTTTTTTTACGGATTCCGATAGATGAGGTAATTACCGACATGTACTAACAATTTTAGCACTATATACAGTCTGGACCGTAAGTATTTCACTATTTGTTTGCTTACATTAGCGTAGAGCGGTATTGATTTACTTTCACAAAATCGCGATTATCTCAGCTTCCTTGTGCGAAATTGCGTAAATGTCCAGAAGTGAGTCATTTTCATTTTACTCTTACGGGTCACAGATTGTGATTAGAATACAGTGTTTGGTAACATTGTAAAGCTAAATTGTTCTTGTAGTATTCACTGCATGTCAATCTGATCATATACGCACTCTCAACAGGCTTTGGAAAAGTGTTAAAATTTGCGAAAAAGTCTGGCGGTGGCTGGTACTACTTTTTCAAACCCCTGGCAGTCAGAATGTTAAATGTTGATCAAACAATTAGATAATGATCCAAGCCAACTAGTAACGTTCACAATCAGCTGAGGAGTACTGGGTGCATACACCGTCATGTGTGCTTTCCGAATACTTCGGTGCTTTGTCAAGACCAGACCCTATATTAAAAAATAAATATTATTGATAAATTCATTAACTAAATGAAGAATCGTTATGCAAAGCAAAAATTAAAAAAAAAAAAGATTTTATAAAATATGGAAGCAATTTTTTCTGAAATATTTCTAATTATCTAATTTATCATTCAGCTGGAAAAAATGAATGGTATCATCAGAAAATTAGATAGAGGTTAAATTTCATGTCGTAAAAAATATTGTTAATAATTATATCAGATTGATGTAGTTGATGATGTTCCACGTATGTCTCGATGGTATAGAATAGAACTGCAGTTTTTAAATAAACGCCTGACACTTTGACATAATTTGAGACA